ATCATACCAAATAAGAGTTCAAGTCGTAGTATAAGAGTCACGTCGTAATCAAAGAATAGTTTACATCGTGTCAACTTTTGCGCTTTGCCATAAATATGAGTTATTATTTCACGTGGTGGCTATTTTTAGGTTCCAATGACACCTATGAGAATAGTGCAAAAATAAAATTATCACTACGAGAATTGAGAAAATGTTAGTCTTTTTCATGTAGTGTTTCTTAATTAATATCTGACGTTATCTATAATTATTTAGAAGGTATAAATGTTAAGGTTANTATATATATATATATATATAAAGTTTTAGAAATTGAAATTTCAAAATAGAAATAATTTTTGAAAGATAAAATCATACCAAATAAGAGTTCAAGTCGTAGTATAAGAGTCACGTCGTAATCAAAGAATAGTTTACATCGTGTCAACTTTTGCGCTTTGCCATAAATATGAGTTATTATTTCACGTGGTGGCTATTTTTAGGTTCCAATGACACCTATGAGAATAGTGCAAAAATAAAATTATCACTACGAGAATTGAGAAAATGTTAGTCTTTTTCATGTAGTGTTTCTTAATTAATATCTGACGTTATCTATAATTATTTAGAAGGTATAAATGTTAAGGTTATTTACATATAATTCAAATAACTCAGATATTTAATATGGTTAATGTCAAATATCAAAATGGAGAAAAAAATTCACTAGCTAAAGAATTTTTTATATTTTTAGATAGCCAACTAAAATGAGTTTTGAATTAAGAATAATATTTTCAATTACATTATTATAAAATGATTATTATTGAAAATAATGTTTTAAAAACTGAAAATTTAAGAAAGAAATATTTTTTAAGAGATAGCAATACACCAAATAAGAGTACAAGTAGTAGTAAAAGAGTTAAGTCTTATCCAAAGAGTCATTCATTGTCTTAACATTTGATTGTTTTACCATAAATATGAGTTATTATTTTGCTTTCTGACTATTTTTAGGATTCAATGACACCGGCAAGAATGGTATCAAAAAAAGAAAAATAGAAGAAATGATTAATTTTTTCATGTAGTTAATATCCAATGATTATTTATATTTATTGAAAAAGTGTAAATTTTAAGATTATTTACATACAATCAAAATGACTTAAATATTTGACATGATTAGTGCCCGCGCATCTGCGCGGGGTACTAATACTAGTTTCATAATTAAGATAGGTAGGTAACAGCCTACACAGGTAGATTTACAATGTCGGCTTCATTATCGAGAAAAAAAATGTTAATTAATAATATGTATTTGTGCACTAAATTTGCTAGTGTGGAGTGTAGTAATACTCTGTACTCACTAATTTAAAATTTTAAATCCACCTATGAAGGGTAGGGGGACGTACATCTACTTATATAATCTCATAGACTTAGGGATAGTTTGGCCATAAAAAATATTTCTTTTTTTCGATTTTTTTTTTTTACTTTTTTTTAAATTAGTGTTTGGCCATAAAAATTCCAAATTTTACTTAATGTTAAGTTTTGAAATTTTTTGGAATTTGAAAAACTCCAAAGAGTTATTTAAAATTGGGAGTTTTTTCTATTATTCTTCTCCTTCATTCTTATTTAAAAACGCTTTCTACTTTTGCTCCAAGGATGTATATCTAATTGAACCTCATTGATTTCATAATTATTTTTTCTTCTTTATTTTCTTTATAATTATGTGCTAGTTAACTCGTGATCTTTCGCTCTTGTATCAATATATATAACTTAAACTCATAAACAGCACAAGAATGATATTACCTGTGATCAGCAACTAGCATATTGGAATAGCCACCATAAGTGATGGTACCATCCCAAAAAATGCCATTATAAGTGAATTGGACTTGGTCACAATAGTTCTCTTGGGAGTCCTTACAATACTCACACTTCAAACATGTTGCTGCCAAACAACCTACCCCTACTCTATCTCCATTCTTGAATTTTGTCACATTGCTTCCCACTTTTGTTATAATCCCAGTTATCTCATGCCTTCAAGAAAAAGAAAAAAATACATTTTTATTTGATGGTATAAAATACTAATGCTCATCTCATTAAAGGGCAGCGCAGTGCACGAAGCTCTTACTATACGCGGGGTTTGGGAAAGGGCTGGACCGCAAAGGTCTATTGTACGCAACCTTACACTGCATTTCTGCAAGAGGTTGTTTTCACGGCTCGAACCTGTGACCTCCTGGTCACATGGCAGCAACTTTACCAGTTACGCCGATGCTCCATTTCCCAAATGCTCATCCCATTGCAGGTCATTTTTTTTTGTGGGTAATCTGTTTGATATTGCTCTGTGCTCATAAAAAAACATACTCATTTACGGGTCGATTCAAAGTATTTCGTGGCTAAAGCTAAATGTTGAGGAGAGGCTTTCAATTTAATTATTAAAGCTAAATATTTTTATTTGAAACTTATCCTTCTAACTTTTTGAGATAAAAAATTAGTAATTATTTTTTTGTAATAAAATTTTTCCTTTTTTTTTTGTTGAGTTTGGAGTAATCAAATTCGCATTTTCTAGTTAATATTTTAAATTCCAAAAATGACAAAAAAAAGTATATATCATTAAAGCATATATTTTAAACTGATAATTTCAGATTAAGGAAAGATAACAGATAAATTATGGAAGTTGGTAACTTAAAATCAAAATAAATTCATAAGAGAGCTTTTTGTTTCTAATTACCTCGTTCAATGATTGTCAATATTTAGCTAAAGAATTGTTTAAACTCTAAATCCAAGGAATACCCAAAAAAAACTCTGAAAATTGAATACAATTTGATAGTACGTTGAGGAGAAAAAATAAAAATAGAAGAGGAATGAGAGGCTAAGAAAATAAAGAGCTTTTCTTTTGTTTATGTTTTTTTTTCTTTCTATCGTCTCCAGAAAACAAAGAGCCAAATTTAGAAGCTTTATTTTTATATTTTCTACTCCCTCATGTCCACTTTAAATGATTTTTTTAGCCTTTTTTTTGTGGCCCATAATATTTAATTTTTTCAAATATCAAGAAGGAATTAACTTTCTTATTTCTAAAGTTTCTCCCGGAGTAAAAAGAGTAGGAGTAGTTTGTTATATTTTCAATGAGTAAATTAAGGTTAATATGATCAATTTTATTGTTAATTAATGTTAAAAGATGAATTCCTTAATATATGTGAAAAGAACCAAAAAATCAATTAAAGTGGACCAAGGCCGACTATAGGGTCAAGCGTCTAAAGCAAATGCTTGAGGCCCCAAAATTTGGGGGGCCTCATTTTTTTTTTAATACCAAAAATAATTAATTCTTGAAATTTGAAAAAATCACTTATTTTGGACCACAAGAAAAAAGCCAAAAAATTACTTATTTTGGACTGAAGGAAGTATTATTTTTGGGGCCTAAAGCAACCGCTTCATTTATTGTAGTATAAGCCTATAAGGTTAGAGCGCAGATTCTGAGAAAGAAAATAAAGTCACATGACATATCTCAATGCAACCACACAACAAAACATGCGAAATCTAGTAGTACGTAATATTGAGTCCAAATGAATTATTTTAGAGCTCCAATTCTTATTTATTTTCTTTTGGCGATTGAATTTCTTATTTTTGTATCTCCGAAGTATGATAATTGTCCTATTAACATGCAGGATATCATTTTCAGAATAGGTAAAGATAGAATTAGCTCGAGAAATAAGATAACTACCCAGGCACGACAGGGTACATAGTAATGCCCCAATCGTTCTTCACATGATGAAGATCCGTATGACACATGCCACAATACAAGATCCTAATGCTCACATCATTCTCACCATTTTCTCTGGTAAATTTCACCCAAAAAAAAAAAAAAAAGATTAGTAACTCGAAAAAAAAAAGATTGGTAACTACTATCACAAGTTAAATTATACTATTAGTATTGTAGAAAATATTTACACCGCCAGCATAACATAAAGAGTATTATCACTTTTAGCCTCCGTCAGAAACTATTTATATCTGATAGCCGAAAAAGTATATAAAATTTGTATAATTTTTGTATATAACATACAGAATGTGTATATATATATACACAAACAAAATATACAAATATTATACACTTTTTCGGCTATTATTTTTACAGCGGGTATACAGTTTATATTTTTCCATAACATAACCTAAATCCAACAATTCATACAAAGGATAAGAAAATGCCCAAAAAAGGGGTAAATATTATTTACCTTCTCTTGAAGGTAAAAGGTGTGATCTTGCCAGAAGAATCATGAGCTGCCCAACCAGAAACACTTTGTGTGTGATTTGGTGTTGTTTGAGCCATATTTCTGAGAAAAAATGCTCTGTCTTTTTTGGGAGAATGAACAGCAGATGAATGAATATATGTGATAAGTGACAAGGCTCCCCTTTATGTAAAAGCAAAAAAAAAAAAAACTTATTAAAAATCATTTGGTTGGCAGCTAGCTACAGTAGGTTAGAATTTAAGACACATTAAATAGGTCCAGCTAGGTTGAGAAAAACAGGTCTCACCATTTAATGTCACGTTCATTCTTGCTCCTCATTCTATGTAAAGACGATCTACAGCGAGTTCTACGAGTCCAACTGAACTTACTGCATTCGACTCGAACTATGTATACATACACAAGTTTAAAATGAATATGTATAATATGATCATACTCATTCTGAATCTACGTTATTGGCATGCGCCGCAACAAGTGCATGAGAAAGAATGAAGAGATCCATGTACAACCAAATGATATTGTACATGTACAACAAAATATACTACTTCAGAACTCAGGAAACACTCCTACACTTACTAACAACAAAATTATAATAGTTGTCAAACAATGGGATATGTTTATCCTAAATGATATGATGCAAAAATTTGACAAGATTGGGACGAGCAAGCTGTGTTGTTAGCAGGGCACTAAGTTTCCTGTGTTGTTTCTTTCGAGAATCGCGCTTCCTGATTGCCTTTTGTTTCAGTATGAAGTTGTATTAGCAGGGTAGCCTGCAACCTCGTTTCTTTGGTCCGAGTATCCGAGCTCACTTCACAAAACAAATAATCTTCAAATCTTGTTAGGAACTAACCAGCTGAATTTCTAGCATGAATGTCTAATTCAAATCATAATTCGCCATGCAATCTATTGTTAGGTTCTCTTTTTATCATTTGAATGAGGTCCTGAACAACTTCTGACATTGGTGGTCTGAATTCTGGCTCATGCTGCACAAAGATTCAAACTTTAGGTAAAGTAAAAAATGTGAGGGCAAACCTATTCAACAACTAAATCTTAGAAATTTCTGCTAGGATGAGTGCACCTCCCTCTCTCTTTCCCCTCATATATGCACACTTGATTTTGACAAGAACACAATGGTAGACGATCTTAAGAAAATTCCTACTCCCGACAAAGCAGGGAAATAAAAGAAGGCAAAGAAACTATCTATGTTGCACCTACAAGATTCAAATTGGAATACAGTGTGGTATTACCATCCCTTTCAAACACCTGTTTCTGAACTTAATATTTTATCGAAGTCGAAAACAAAAGATGGCGACCCTTTACCAACTACATTGATCGTTCCACCTCCAACATGTAATTATTGTAACAATATCCCCAAGTAACACAGTGATACTAAGTTTGTACTACAGTCATTAAAAGAGGTAAGAAGTAGAAAATGATTTTAAATAGAAAAGAATTTAATCAATCAATTAACTATGTCTTAACAGAAAATTAGTTTAGGTCAGTTATATGAATCCTTTATTTCCCTTTCGATGTATTCAAGCCCACTTTATATAAGAAGAAAAGCATGATAGATAACATTTTAACTTTTAAACATAATAATAGATGAAAATTACAAAAAGAGTGTGGTAATATTTAAAAGGTTATTGGGTATTGTGAAAGTTCAGTTTGGTTTTTGTTGCCGGAAAGATGTTATTCTGATTTTTTAGAAACATTTTTGTTGAAGTTGTTTTTGTTTACAGAGACATGCCCAAATAATTTCAAACGAATGGCAAATCTCTAACAGGTTGGAATCTTTCACTTAGCAGTTGAGGTAGTAAAGGAAGTAAGGTTGAAAATGACTTATTCTCAGTTTTCATCCTCCTACAAAAGTTGTAATGTAGTGAAAATGTTAACATGGTCGGACAAAGAAAAATGAAAAGCTACGCAAATCTTTTCTTTTCTCTTGTTATTGTAGTTAATGCACAAAGGTGAGAAAAAACTCTCAATTTTTTTCTCAAAATCCAATCTTCTGTTTTCTCCTTGTGACAAAGAAGCTATCAATGTTATATATGTACATTGTCCCTTTCACTTTGTATTTAAGATATTTTACGAAGGAATACAGAAATGGGTTGGCTGATACTTAATTGGCACAGACCAGAGGAATTTATACCCTGATTCCTCTGCTCTTTGAGATTAAGGACAGCTAAGACTATTGTCATCCACTCAGGGCTTAGACAATGCAGAGTAATAATTCAGATAAAGGCATAACATAATAACTCACCTGAACACAGCGAGAAATTATGTCAGCGAAGTGTGATAATGATTTAATGGGGTATTTTCCATTGAGAGAAGGATCAACCATCTTTGTCAAGGCATCAATATCGTGTAGCTGAGGGATTGCCCATCTGACCAAGAACTGCTCTCCTCGAGTCCTTGTCCTAATATGATATGCAATGCAGGTGTGTTATTCTCCGCTAAGAAAAGAGGCACAACTAAATTATCTCAACAGGATGCAGACGAGTTCTTTACCGATCAAATGACATTCTGCCTGTTAATAGTTCTAACATCACTACGCCAAAACTGTAAACATCACTTTGGGAAGTATAAATCCCTGACTCAAATTCTGGAGCACTGTAGCCATAGGTTGTGAGAAGTTGTCCCGACAACTGAAAAATCAGTATAATGTCAAACTTGATAGAGTTTTTGACATACCTCAAACTTAACGCAAAAGTAATAAAACACATAAGATTAAGAAGACTGCTTTATAAAAAGAACAATAAATAATGACAAGGTAACAAGACCGATAATCCACATGCACATTGCGAGAAGAGCACCTTCACCATTTGTATTTACTGCTTTTTGAAATATAAATGAGAAATAATGAGGTCCTTCAAGGAAGTTAGGCAAATTTTCCGTTTCTGATAACCTAATAAAGAAATACCAATATAGTGAACCAGCAATATTTGGCTAGTCTAGTGAACTAACTCCTCCGTTTCCAAATTTACAGGAAAAAGGTGTTAAGACTTCTGAGGTTCACCCTATCCAACGTCTTGTTGAAAGCACTTTGACCATCACTACTGTACTGTTTCTTTTTTAGTACATAGGGGAAAATTAATAATCCGAGGAATATTCCATCCTTTCTACTTCAGAACATTAGGATAGCAAGTTACCTGACTCGCAGCACCAGACGATAGCAATGGAGCTAAACCACAATCTGAAACATGTACAGCCAACTCATCATCAAGCAGAAGATTGGCCGATTTGAAGTTTTTGTGAATAATAGGTGGCTCGCAGACTTCATGGAGGTACCTGCATTCCATCAAAACAAGAATGGCTAATTCAAATATGCTATAGGTCACTTTTTCATGTAAATCTAAAGATAAGATTCAAACTACTTAGCAATGCTACCCAATTAATTTTAATTTTCTTCATTTTTTCTTGGACATGCGGAAGCAAAGAAAGGAGTAGCAACAAGCAAATAACAGCTACATCTGACATTTTATATTTAGTGAAGACTATTCCAGGTCATCGTTTTGTGGCTTTCTATCATGCAATATGCACAACACAAGAAAGTTATGGACTAAAATGAGCTTGTGATTGACTTCGTCACTATACCACAACCAATTTATTGTTTATATTTTTAATAAGTAACACTGATTTATCATCTAGAATCATCGGAAGTACTTATTATAGGTACGCCCTCAAAAATTCTTCACCCATTACAATTTTAAGTAGGAGCTTATACACACATACAATGCGCTCGCACACACGCGTATGTGCATAAATATTAAATGTGTGTATTGTTATTTGACTCACTCCAAAGCTCTTGCAGCTCCAAGAGCCATCCTGATTCGAGTATTCCACGAAAGTTGTTTCTTAAATTCATCGTCAGAATGAAGTGCATCCTGTAGTGTCCCATTAGTGCAATACTCATGGACCAGAAGCCTTTGACCATGCTCTGCACAATACCCCATCAGCTCAACAACATTAGCATGACGAATTATGTCGATGTTGTTTACTAGGTCAAGAAACTCGTCCTTTTGTTGACTGCAAACTCTTTTGTCAAGCTTTTTGACAGCAAGCAACTGCATAAGGATCCAAAAGGAGCACGTGTCAGAAGCAAAATGTTGAAACCACTTGAATGCTGTGGTGCACAGTGCAAGAGAAGGAAGAGAAGTAAGATTTGCATGCCAGAGAAATCCATATAGTACACCCCAAATAATTATATAGAGGAAACAACACGCTCATACATATAGTTTGTTATTTAGAATTATGACCAGAAAAAGATGCAGCTGCATCTCGCTGATCCTCTTACTAAGAGATGGACAAAAATAAGGTTAGAAAAACATACTCGAACACTAATACAGCTATAAGGTTGATTTTCATTTTAAAAATCTTAAAATATAGTTATAGGACAACATTTCGTCAACTATGTTGGTCACTGGAAGAAATTACCACATGAAGATTAACTTGGGACAAGAAGGAAAAGAAAAAAACTGGAAGGATCCTAAAGGGAAAATAGTGCAATTATTGCATCCTTGAGCGGGTGTTAACTAGCTAAAGAAATGTCAGAAACAAGAATATCAGATACAATAGGTAGAATTCCTTTAACAGATGTTCCTTGGTTTAGGGAATGCTATAGTAAAGGATACAGGAAAATGATGTTCCACAGCAAAACCCTACTGGTATCACAACCATTTGTAATAATTTTAGTGCTAAAACGCCGAAGCACTCTACCAATGTATATACTGACTAGAGTTTAGGAGGCTACTTTGATACTACTGGACGATAAATAGCAGTCAGGAATGGAGAATTACAAAAAGTTAGCAGTCTAGACTCTAGACAATCTAGTGGGAGTAGGAAACCACAGTTAATAAATTGGTGCATCATAATAAATACATGCCGATTGAAAGTTATAGTACCTTTCCATTCGGAAGCTCTGCTCTGTATACACTACCAAGCATTCCTGATCCCAACAGATTATCTTGAGAAAAGCTATTGGTATATTGCTGAAGTGATGCAATTGTGTAAGATTTCACAAAAGTTAGTGGAACCGGCCTGGTTAGAGGCTTCACTGTGGTATCTTCAGCAGGTACAATTGGCTTGACAATAACTCTCTCGTGTGGAAGAGTTGGCAGAGGAGGATGTGGAGGTGGTGGCATCAAATCAATATCAAATCTGCTAGGGTTCATATCATTATTATCCTTCTTTGGCAGTGCACTCGTGGTTAGCACATTTACCTCCTGCTCATGCGGTGGCTTCAGAATGGGAGCCGGTCTTCTTGGTTGTTTTTCTTTTGGCTTCACAACTAGAGGAGCTGTTTAACACATAAGAAGCCGACTTATCACTAAACAGTAGAAGGTTAAACTTTGAGATTCACAAACTTTTTAGTTTTAAATGCCGCACAACAGAATTCCAAACTCATGAAGATTCTAGGAGGGCATTTCAAATTACAATAGAAGAGCATTTGACAGATATCATAAACTTGGGTATTCACACCAGAATTAGAATCTAATCCTAGCGGAGCGGAGACATAAACACTATGATTTCTTCCCATATGTCCAAGCCTTGGTGGATAGAGTTACCTGGTACCTATTGGTACCTATTGCTGGTGGGAGGTAGCAGGTATCTCGTGGAATTAGTCGAGGTGCGTGCAAGCTAATCCGGATACCACAGTTATTAAAAAAATACAACAACAACAAATCCAGTGAAATCCCACAAGTGGAGTCTTGGGAGGGTAGTGTGTACACAGACCTTACCCCTACCCTTGGGAGATAGAGAGGCTGTTTCCGAAAGACCCTCGGCTCGAGAGGATGAATAGAAACAAAAAAGGTTATTAAAAAAATAATGATTATTAATTTAAATACAAACATCAATCCACATCAAATGGAATCATGAAATAACAATAGATATTGAGTAATTGTAGCACCTTTCTCTATGTCACGGCCAGGTTGGACTAATGAACCACTATCTCCGGGATTCTCTCTGGCACCCACATAAGGAGCTATTTCATGTTGTTTGGGGGTTCTTTGAGTTTCATGCCATTTCCTGAGGCACCTCGGCAGAATGAGCAGGATCGCTAAAACCAATATTATAAATGTCAAAACTGCTGCAATTGATATCCAGACCACCCTTTTAACAGATAAAGACTTTTTGCTTCCTGTTGAACTTGACTCTGCAGATGCTGCTGGTGGTGTCTGTGCTGAAGTTGGAGACCCAGAAAAGGGTGGCGCAGAAAGAGGTGTTATTGATGAATTTGGTGGAGGTAAAGGAGCAATACTACCGTCGAAAGGATTTCCATCTTTTCTGCATGAAAACAAAAAGCAGCAAGCAAACAACAACATCAGTCGTCACTAATCATAAACAACAGAGCATGTATAAGATGGTCACAAAATGATCCAACAACTGATACATCCAGAGGCGGATCTAGGATTTATAGTCCATGAGTGCACTACTAAAAAAAATGAGGAAAAATGTATTAAGTGGGAATTGATCTCTATTCCTCTTGGTAATTAACACATCCTTTAGCCAAGTGAATCATTCACCTTTCTTGAAGCATAGGTAGCAACCGTTAATATTATACCAATTTTAGAAAATGTGTACATAAAATATCCAATTTTGCGGAGAGACCATGAGTTCATGTGCCCCATATTTTTGCCTATAAATCCGACCCTGGATACATCCATCCTTGCATGGAACAAATATGTGTTCCACTGAATGAATAAGATTGCCTGACTTCCATGTAATTTTGGCCTGCCCAAAGTTAAGGGCTCAGTATATGATTAAGGCGAGTGACCTAACTTGAGCTGAGTTCTGGCCACCATGGAATATGAACTTAAATTAAGAACAGTTTAGTCAATGCGCCAACTTGCTAAACTAAATAATTTGCAATTTTGTTTATTTTGAAAGGGAATATCATACCTTGGCTGTTGCATGTTTTCATATGCATATCGTACTCTGCTTTCCGTGTATCTATATGTATATCTGTTGTCTAGTTATTGTGTCTGTATGAGTTGCTTACTTCCAATTTTGAGAGACTGACCATACGACATAATCATGAATTCAAATGACATGCTTATCAGGATTGTTCTTTTCATTTTCAGGTCAATTTCTTATTTTGTAATTCTTAAGTTTACTCATTGAGCTGTCACTTATGGGACTACACTGGGTATGTTGTTGTTATTGTTGTACTCAATGAGCTGTCATTTATGCTAAGGGCAATTGTGGGATTCATATCCATGTCAGACATTAAGCCTATATTGCTGGTCATTTTGTACGAAATGCTCTTGCAGCATACAACCACACCCATTTTATTAAGTTCGATTTCAGCAACTTGTAAACAAGAATTTTCTTGAAATGGGTTACTTTTTATGTGCTCAAGGTTTTTAAGGGAGGCATTGAGAGAGAAAGGTTACATAAGTGGTTGTAACCACTGACAAGTAACAAGACCTTATCAGAATTTCCACGGTTTCGACCTACGTGTCTTCTATGATTCTATATCTTCTCTTTTGGGATATGTTACATGTCAGATAGTATTTCCAACAAAAGACAAGGGGCACGAAATTGTTATACCTGGCCAAGTTTGCATTGTAATGTGCAAGCTGTTGACTCAACATAAAAACTGAAAGCACAAAATGAGTATATGAAAGCAGAAAATGAATGTACTTACTTGAAATTGGGAATAGAGAACAACTTCTGAGGTATGGGCCCAGAAAACAGGTTGTTTTCCACATTTCTAGAAAGGGAACAGGGAGGGTGGAGATATGTTAGTAAGATATCATCGTTCTATATAAATGAAAATAATATTCGAGTCAAATGTAGTTTGGAAGAGTACAAATCTGCAAGCGGAAGATCCTGCAAAACATCCAGAGTTCCAGAAAGCTGATTATTCTGCAAATGTCTGGAAATAAAGAAGTTTAGCTTTATCATGTAGACCAATGTTATAAACCAAGTGTATAATAAGGTTGAATTACTTACAGAGTAGCCAAGGAAGACAAACTTCCTAGCGATGGTGGCAATGATCCACTTAAACTGTTACCTGACAAATCACTGTTAAAAGATAAATAGGCAAACCAATTATGCATATGGCAAAAAAAAACTAAATGAAAGAACAGAAATGCTTTTGTTTAGCTGTCGTACAGATTGACCAAAGCCGTGAGGCCGTGAAACGAATCAGGAATTCCTCCAGTCAAATGGTTGCCATTAAGAGACCTGACACACAGAGAAATACCTTATCAGATTCTTTACAAATCAAGTAACTATTAATTTACNGGACGGAATGCTTCCGCCGATATGGTTGTTGCTCAGATCTCTGCCACAAGAGATAGCCACAATTTCTGCTCACATTTCATTACAGTAGACTACCACTAAATGGAAACATTCTCATAACATGAAATGTTTTGACCTAGGAGATAAACGAGAAGCTTACAATGTTTTGAGAGAAGAAAATGAGCCTAAATTATCCCCTAGTTCACCACCCAAGTTAGCAGCATTGAGTCGACTGGAAATGACATGAGAAGTAGGATTAGCATTTCAGTTCCAAATATCTATGAAATGTTGCGGCAAAATGGAAAGTCCTTACATCGTTACTATATTTGTATTTTCGCATATGACCCCTTGCCAAAGTCCATTACATGGGTCTCCACCAACAGTACCCCAGCCCGGAAGGGACGGCGATCCCAGAGCAGCATATAAGCCATTAATTGCAGCAACTTGACCAATAGAAAAAAGAAACTTTCGGTAAGGAAATTCCAAACATAAAGAAGAAAGTGCAGAAACTGATCCATGAAACCATATGAAAATTTAGAATCCAATCAAATTACAAAAGGTAAATGCAAACTTCCCTCAGAGGCAATTAACAGATCAATAGGCGCAAAAGCTGCCAGTCCTCAACTTTGCAAACCCAATAAAATGTCAGGACAGTGGGAGTAAAGGCACAAATTTTATTTTCCAAAACGTAAGCAGTGGTGGAGCTAAGTAGAGGGAAGGGGATTCAATTCAAATTCATTGAAGACTTAAACTTTGCAAATAGGGCAAAAATGAATTCTTTGGTTACATATAAATTGTTGAATTCCCTTGAGAAAAAGTCTAGTAAAGTGGCAAAAGGGGTCAAAAATTGCTTTAAGTCATTGGCACACATAATCATACATAAGAACCTTCAGTCACTTGAGTTCAAATTAAGCTAGCGTTTGGCCATAGATTCCCAAATTTGTTTTGAAAAATCTGATTTGGATGAAATTTGGTTTGAAGATGAAAATGAGTTTGGAGATATTTTTCAAAACATATTTCCCAACTTTATTTTGGAAAAACATGTATATAATTCCCAAGTTTTGGTATTTTGGCCCAAAATCAGCAATTGGGGTGATTTTGGGGTTTGGAATTTGGGGTTTTGCCAAAATATGGACAAAATTTATGGCGAAACATGAGTTTGCCAAATAAATCCCAAATTTAGTTTGGCAAAACTCATGGCCAAATGGAGCACTAGCTTAGATAATTACATAGTCAGGCATAATCAGCATTGCACAAAACATGAAATTGGAAATTCACCTTGATCATGAGAATTTAAATAAGAAATAATAAATATTAAATACTCCACGATCGTTGGTGACTTACCATCTCCAGGGTCAGTTTCATCTGAATGTTGAACAGCAAAAACTAATAGAATCCACACCAAAATCTCCAAATTCAAGCAGCACACAACAAATCTCTTCTCATCCATTGGCCCAAAAATACAATCTTTTTCTTTAAACTACTCGTTCTCTGGAAAAATACTTTGCATAGCCAATTATACATAAAATTTCCAATCTGCAATACCAATAAAAGGACATTGAAAATACAAACCTAAACCAAAAAGATTAGAAAAAATAATCAATGACTCACAAATAACAAATGGGTATCTAAAAAGAACGTAAAAGAATCAAAAAAACAAATTCTTGAGGGGGAAAAAACTAAACTTTTTAGACTTCAGCAAGGAAAAGTATAGAACAAGAAGAAAAACCCACCAAAGATTCAGTGAATTATGAGGAAATAACAAAAATGGAGGGGGGGTATGATTTCCACACAAAAAAAAACAGACGCTTTTACGCTGAATTAAGCAAAAACAAAGAGGACTAAGGACACGAAAATGAAGTTTACATAAAAGTAAGCAGTGATTAAGGACCCAATTAATGTGAGATTAGTCTTACCTTTGTAATTGCTGAAAAAAGAAAAGAGTAAAAAGCTAAGCTTTAGAAAGTTGCAGAGAGACACTGAAACTTTTCTTCGTCTTTTCCCGGTGAGTGAGTGAGTGAGTGAGAGAGTGAGTGGAAGTCGTAGATAATCTGATTTTGAGTCACTTTTAGGAGGTAAATTTCAATACCACGCGCGATAGGAATGCGTGATACTTCTCTCTTCTTATGTTTCTTCTCTCTTTTCCTCTTCCTACATTCTTTCTCAGATTAATTAGACGACAATTATAATACATATATTATTATTTGTCTAAAATTTTCCACCTCCGATTTATTTTAAATGTAATTTTAATTTTAGTCCAAAATGAAACTTTGCTCAATTAAGAAGTCTTTCAAAAGTCACTGTTCATTTTGAGGAGAGATAAATTGTAATCTAATCAAATAGCCTTTATAATTAATATTATTAAATAATTTTATCTAATAAATATATTTGCATAGGAAAAAATTAGTTTATATTAAATAATCGAATGGTGTGTGACACGTGAAATCGAAGACAAGCAGAAGATAAATCAAGTAACAACCAGTATCGGGAACAACAACTGTAATTGGCATCGGATGGACCACGAAGGGAGCACAATCAACATGAGCGGATCGAATGTTTGTCACCGGATGACATTCAATGAAGAATATTTCCTAGCATTAAATGGGCAGTCGTAGCAAAGAATATTTGCATTCATGACCTGGCGTTACATATTTATCAATGATCCCTTTATTGTCATTTAAGGAAGGTTGATCCTAGGATCTTGTTTCCCTATTTATTGCTATAAATAGTAGACTCAATGGCCATTGTAAGACAGAAAATTCTTAGCAAAACTTAGGCTACATTCTATTCTCGAGCTCAATAAAATAACTCTATTTGCTCTTTATATTGTTCTTATTTCTGTCCCATAAGGCACTGCTCTCGGAGTCAAGCTTGTCATTTCCTTTGATTTTAAACGCTAAATTTTATTTTTAATCTTGTTTATTATCTATTTTGGATCAAATAATTTCGCTTGTATATAAACCACGTAACAAATTCAATTGTACCGTTTTACGAGTAAATAATAGTTCCTCTATTTCAAATTAGATGAGATACTTTCCTTTTTATTATGTTCCAAAATAAATGACACATTTCTAAATTTGAAAATAATTCAACTTTAAACTCTTCATTTTACCTATTTTACCATTAATGAGAAATTTTTATAACCACACAAATGTCATGACCCCACAAAGCTTTTAAAACTACAAGTTTCAATTTTTTTTTTCTTAAACTTCATGTCAGGTCAAATTATATCATCTAAATTGAAACGGAGGGAGTATTAAATATTAAAACGACATTAAGAACAAAACAGAGATGATAATACGAATCAGAGTGACTAATAGCCTGTTTGGCCAAAAATTGAGGTGTTTGGCCAAGCTTTTGAAAGGAAAAAAAGTGCTTTTGAGGAGAAGCAGAAGCAGTTTTGGAGAAGCAGAAAAAGTAGCTTCTCTCTAAAAGTACTTTTTTGAGAAGCCATTTTGAGAAAAATACACTTAGAAATAGATTTTTAAAGCTTGACCAAACATTAGTTGTTGTTCATAAGTGTTTTTCGAACTAATTAGCCAAACACAAACTGCTTCTCACCAAAAGTACTTTTGAAAAAACATTTCTTAAAATAAACTGATTTTTGCAGCTTGACCAAAAGGGCTATAAGAACGGAAGATGGTAATACGTTTCGAAAATGATCTTAATAAATGTTGCGAACACACATTCTTATGACATATTTTACTCCAATAAGTATAAATTCATGTGCGTTTTGTGAATATTATTAATGCAAGAGACAAAAACAATAATCAAACGTTGAATTAGACGATAAAATCACATAAGTAACAAAGATTTTTTATGCTGTGAACTATACTTAATTGTTTCAATAAAAAATTATCAGCACTTAATGTATATATCAAAGCAATAAATGTATGATGCCTATTTGAGTATAAATTTGAATTTCTAAATTATAATTCATTAATATTATATATTCTTACCTTATTAAATTCATAATAAATATTCAATCATATTTACAATTAAATACCAAATGCGCCAAGTATGTAACCATGACCGGACCAAAAAAAAGGCAATTTAGGAAGAGCGTGATGATTCAAGCACTAAAAGGAGCGTGATATGGGTTCTATAATGAGTATTGTTGTAATCTGAGTTTATAGATAAATTAATTATGTGTAAATTATAGCCGCCACTGTTGGGAATTTTGAATGCGAGGAAAAAGAAGAGAAATTCAAATGGAAAAAGGCAATAATGGGCTAAATAGACTCCATAGGTGTAGCTCAACATGATTTTCTGTGTGCACAACAATTATACTAAAAATGATGCAGTTCGTTGCACTATATTTTTGCCCTGCAATATGTTATTTTCACGATTCAAACTCGTAATCTACTGACTATATAGCAACAATTTTATCATTTCTTTAACAATCTTATATTAATTTTTTCAATTTAGTAAGATTTCTTGTTCAGACAAACATCTTACTTTCATGGACCATGGTATATTCTAGTTGGAGATCTTGATCCCTTATTTATCATACATCTGTATTATTTTCATGTGTAATAGTTTGCAAATTGCACATGAGGGTAAACTACGCTAAGCAAACCTCGTGTTACTAGCTCAATTGAGAAAGTAAGCAAGTGGATTTCGAACCCTAAACCTCTCATTCTGAAAGTCCCCTGCTCAACCAACTCGGTCACCCCAAAAGGTCATCTATAAATTTTAGTAATACTTCTTCAACTATTAAGGGCGCATTAACTAATTTCAAATAATACATTGATATGTTTTGCCAATTGGAAATGATACAATTTTATTTAAAAAATAAATTATTGATTAAACAATAGAACAGAAAACCTAGTGCTAGCTCTTGTTGTTAGGATTGTGATGTGATGAATAGGATCCCTTCATCTTTAATCGGAGATTTCAAATTCAAGATATGAGTATATAAAATTCAGATAGACAGTGCTTCTTATTAAATGGGTCTTACGCGGGTGCACATCCAGATTAATCAGGGCCCAAAACGAATATATCGAATACCAAATGAAAACAAAAATGCTAGCTTTTCATCAATTATTTCTATGGCTTCCAAACTCGCCTAATTTTAATTTATTTTCTAATAACCGATTAAAATTAAAATATAAAGCCTTAAGGGGTCGTTTGGTAGGGCGTATAAGAATAGTACGAAATAAGGTGTATTAGTAATGCATGGACTAATAATGCATGGGTTAGTAATGCAAGCATTAGTTATGCAGATATTATTTCTTATCTACTTTTGGTGTGATGTATTAAAATTATAACGCATTGCATAATTTTTAAGAAAAATAGTTGTTTACAAAAATGTCATCCATATTCTCTAGCTTTAAAGGACTTTAAGGATAATTTGGTCTTTAACCATACTAATGCATGCATTAATAGCCTTGGTATTACTAATGTCATGGTTCTCTATGCATTATTTATACATAGCATAATACCAAATATGATGTATAACTAATACACACAAGTTGAAAAAATGTACCAAATAAGGTAATAGTAATGCATAGAGTTATGCTTGCATTATTTTTTCTAATACCTCCCATCAAACGACCCATAAGAGTTAGGAATTTCTTCTTTTTTTTTTTTTTTTTTTTTTTTGTTTATTTTACATTTCGATTGTGAAGAATTTCCAACTTTGTGTATATCGCCAAGTTTTGAACTTTCTTCCTTAGAATGAAATTTGTGAAAATTTGGAGACATATTTTTTCATTCATTTCCATGCCAAAGTCATTTTCTTTTCTCCTTTTTTTTATTTCTTTTTCTTTATTATTTTTCTTTTTGTTTCTGTGGGTAAGAAGCAAGTGGGGAGGAGGAGGCGAATAAAATTAAAGCATGATCAGCGAAAGAAAAAGTTGAAGTAAGACATTTTCTGATCATCTGATCACTAATTATTTTTTGTTTTTTTTCCTTCTTACTGTAGATTTTAAGTGGATTCTTTGTTTTTGTCTTTGCCCCTCGTAATTCATGTGAACATATTCTCATTCAATTTTTTTAATAATTAAATTCACCTAATTAAGTTTCCATCCTCACCGGAGGCGGACCTACAGCCATGCTTGAGGGGTCACATTGAGGGGTCATGTAAACTTGTTAACTTCGGCAAAAACTCTCTCTATATATATAGTTGTATATACGTTGGGGGGCCCTTAAATATTTTTCTTGTCACCCTCATTAACAAAATTACGCTTGCAGCAATGGTCCGCTTCTAAGAATAAGCCTTGCTCCTTGTCACACGACGCGGGTTCGAAACCTGCCCCATTATTCTCAAATCCTGGGTCCGCCTCTGAGCCTCACCATTCTCAAGCTAAGATTCAAGATTATGTAAATCATAATGATGCAACGCAAGAAAAAAAACTGACTCATAAACTGTAGTCAATAAACAAATTGAACAAGTACAGATGAATCAGATTTCAATCAACTCAACATCGATATATCGAAATGTGTTCAAATATTGTTTTAAACTCGACTCAAATGGAAAACAAAGAAAAATTGATACTATGATGATCAATATTACAAGAAGGTCGCTAATTCTTGCTAGTTGAAAATGTCATATATTTACGAATTTGCATTAATAATATATTCAAAAAATACAAGAGTTATCCAATGTTATTGGTGAGAGGTAGCAGGTATCCCGTGTAATTAGTCAAGATGCATGCAAGCTGGCTCGAACGTCACAGTTATTAAAAAAAAAGAATCCGAGGACGATATGCCATCTTTTCTCAACTTTGATATGTAGAGGTGTTATGGTCTAATTTCGCTCTACTTTTTATTTTTTATTTTTCAGTTTCTTAATAATTGTAATTCGAAAAAAATGTAGGTCGGACACGAATGAATTGTTTAAGATAATAAAAAAGGGGAGGTAGAGAGATAATGGCGAGCAAATTTTTTTTTTTTTTTTTTTTTTTTTTTTTTTTTTTTTTTTTTTTTTTTTTTGGAATGCTTTTCCATTAGCATATTCTACCAATTTTAAGCCTGTTTTTCCTACTACTTTCTAACACATATGTATAGTCTATAGATAAA